CACCCCCACCACTCGAACGTGTGTGGGTGTGTTTCCTGACGACGTAGCGTAAACGCCTCCGTCGGGTAGTGTTGAAAAATCAATTTATACACTCGGACACAGGGCCGCGTGGTGGCGGCTAGCGTGTGCGCGTCCAAGAAAGATAGACCGTACGAGAGTGCGGGGAAGGGAAAAAACAGTATATGGTGTGTGTATAAAAAAAAAAAAAAAATAATAATAAAAAAACAGCAACGGCAGTAGATTTTTTTCACTTTTTTCTTCTTCTTCTATTATCGGCTTGTCCGCAGCTGCCGAGAAACTTACGCTGGCCGGCTGGAACACCGTGAAGTCCGACGGTCACTGATCGCTCGCGCGGACGTGTCTCCAACACGTCGTAATGCATCGTCTATTATATGTGTCCTCCGGAAAATCGTTATTTTTTCAGCGCTGCAGTTCATTAATTATCGCGACGGTCATCGTTTTAGGTATTCGTTTTCATTACGGCTGCGCACCGGTGGACGTAACGGGTGATTAATTCGAAGGTACCTACTGTTTTTTAAACGAGATTTTATCATAGATAAAGCGTGAACCGTGTTGAACTGTATTTTAGCTTACCATTGTGTCTGACATTTCATCACACATTGTCTACGAATTATTCGACTGTACCGCGAATATCAGCGTTCCACGAGAACCGATTTTCATAAGCATATTTTCACAAGAAACGCACGGCAAAATCGCACGACTCCGCTGTACGGTTTTCGAATATTAAACTCAATTTTTATTATTCCATAACATACTATTGAATAGGCTTCGTCCAGTGAGCGGCGAAGACACCACAAGGTGACAGTCGTTTAGGGTACTCTCAATGATGAATCGATTCAGCTTGGCTTGTCGCGTGCAACCCCATTTGGCGTATTCTACATACGGACCTTGGTTTAAAAGCATAAAAAATTCGACTCTCGCAACAATTGAAGCCATCTGTGCTTCCGAATCGACACCGCTTTAGTGTATGGGCTTTTAAAATTGTTCGAAGAAATGCTTGGACTACAAGAGTCGGCATCGGGATCGAGAATACCTTTTGACGAGTTACGAGGTCCAGTTATGGTACAGTTATGTTTATTTGTAAACAACTATACATATACATATGTAACTATACTTATCACATTAACTTTGAATCATTTGAAGTAATAGCGATCGACCGGATTTAAACGGGACCAGATGTTGTTGCGAACCTGATGTTAAACTTGTAGAATTAAAGTACAATACTAACGGTGAAGTCGTTTTAAATGTTATTTAACTGAGAATAAAAAAAAAAAAAGAACGAAGTGTGCAAGTGTTTGGATGGATGATTCCAATGTACGCTCTGGCGTGCGGCAGAGTGCTTAGAGAAATAAACTCGTAAGTCGTAACAGTCAGGTAGTGCACATCCGGACAAAGCCCGAGAAACAACCGGTGAGTGATGTGTGAGTGTTCTTTGCCCTTGAGTAAATCCGACTACTTCATGTCTTGCCATCCCTCGGTATATATATATATTAGTCCTGTACCTTGGAGGTTATCGGCTCTTGGCGCGTAACTGTCCCTGTGACGTCACCTGTTGTCACCAATTTTACATTTTATAACTAACAATTTGTATTCGTTCGAGGGTAACATCGCGAAAGTTTGGCAGCATACATCTAGTTTGTTATAATGTGTAAATATTATTATAGATTCAAAAGAGCATTTAATTAGGCGATTATTAATAATGCATGTTTTTTTTGCATTGCACATTTCAGAAAACATATTTAAGACTAAGGTTATTGTACAAACATGACCACTTTCTCGTATATTATAACAAATTTGGAAAATATGTCACGTCCTGTAACGACGTAAATTTTAGAGAAAAAAAATAGAAAATATATTTACAAATCACGATTATTCATCATGCCCAGTTATTTTTGACTGATGGAGTAATCATAAAAAATTTATATAGCAAAATACAAAATAATATTTTACGGTTATTTATCATATCAGCCTTACATACAGCGTACGGCAAACCGTAAAACGACATTTAAAATGCAATTAACGAACGTAGAACGAAGACTATTAAGATGAGTATGCGGTTACAATCCATAACCGAAACTTTTTAAGTTTACCAAACTATTTACGGAAACGAAAACTCCTCGAGTACGAGCTAAGTAATAAAAATAATTAAAGGCACGGGGAGAATATAACATACATCCGTCTTGCGTACGTCAACGCGTTATCTAGGATAATTGTCAGTGTCGTGGATTAGGAGAAAAGATGATGAGTTAGGAAATGTTGAGTAACACTATGAGTAGTGCGAAAAAATAAATATAAATAAAAGATTTGGCTACAATGGTTCATCGTATATTTTGTGTGGAAATCATTGAACTTCGTAGCGGGCTGGTATACGGTACACCGTTAAGATATTTCATCGAGCTGAACTAGAATAGTGAAAGAGCAGGTTTTTGATATGGAATGTTTATACGTGTTTGAATAATATGTTTATTTCATAGATTTTAAAATCTGTTATTGGTCGTTGGATAATAAATAGACGATTCAAATAAAACGCGAATATAAATAAACAAATAAAACAAAGAGGATGTGATGGATGGATGTGAATTGGGAGTTTTATAACGTTGAAAGATGCACGTATGTGCGTGTACCGCGCGTGACCAAAAATAGTTGAAAGCGGAGGCAAATAAGAAGGATGAATGGTGTATTTTGGTAACACGGACGTACATGTTATAACTAGGGATGGGCATAAAAACCCGAATATCTGAATTATCCAGATATCAGGATGTTCAAAATCGGATTTGAATCAAATTCTTATCCGGATTTATGAATTTGATTTTCATATAACTTATAATTATTTTTAATTTCTAGTAAAATAATTTATTTTATTTTATTGTAAGAAAAAATTAATATTATATTTTATGAATTTCAATTTACTTATCATGATTTTAACAGTTTTTATAATGTATTATTAGTTACCAAAATTATAATTTACTAAATTGTCGAGTTTACTTTATACCTCTATGACTTACAGTGATATCATGACTGAATACCCAATTAACTTATCTTAACTGCATATCCTTAAAATGGTTATTGAATACGATTTTCTGAAGATAAGTTAAATTTATGTAAATATAAAAATGAGTAATCTAACAGCAAAATTGAATTGAATAATCCGGATAGTTCGGATAATCCATGAAATCCGAATTTCTTAAATCCGGATTCGACAAATCCGAATAATTCGGAAATATGCCCATCACTAGTTATAACCACACTTGCCTAAATCATATGATCAAATAATGTCTACTCGATGGCATTGGCCAGGTATATCATGAACTCCTGCGTTTTTCGATATAATCGTTATGATCCGAGCATTCGACGTAGGGACAAACGTTGTCTTGTGTAATGAAACAAACACCCGTTGCCCGATACCCCACCCCGATACGTGTATGTTTGTAAATAAAAGGTGATCGAGGGTTGTCCGTCGACTTGGTTCCGATACGTTTTCCCGATTCTTCCGACCGTCGAATTAATTGTCAGCATCTCTTTCTCTCTGCCGCCCACTTCGTCAACGTGTGCCGCCCGGGGGTTCGCATTTTACGCGCGCACATATTACGTCCCAAACATTTTCGTTTATTTATTTTCTTTTGTGTTCATGTAATGTGCGTACAATCGAATCGCTTTGGAAAGGAGACGCCCAAAAGGAATGGGAAATAAAAAACAATTACCCTTTGACGGCTCGGCCATTATTGAGAGAGTGCGCGTCATCTGCGTGCGCAGACATAATAAATATAAGTGCACCGTGAGAGCGTGATCATTATTTCCGTCGGGGGATTCAAATGCGTCCGATTCCGATCAGACATCACTAAATGTTCTCGTGTAAACAGACATACGTATATATAATATATTTATAAGTATGTGTATGGTACATGTGGTCGGATCATATTATATTATTGCCATCTACGCCAGTGGTGCACAACCTGGGTGTCACCGACGCGGTTTAACACCAAAAGAAAAAGTTATATATTATGCACTGAGATTAATAAAACTTTATACTTAGATTTTAGATTTTATAAGACTCTAATTTTTTATTTTTTATTTTTTTTTTTTTTTTGGGATCAGTTAAATTATAAAAATATTAAAATTGCTTAAAATTAATGCCTTAATAATATATACGAATAAAATTATTGTATACGATAATAATATTCATTATACACATACATAATGTTTATTAGGAAGGGGGACATCGAAATGAATTAATTCGAATGGATCAAAAAAGGTTGCTGATCAACACCATTGCATTACTACTCGGTACCAATTTTTCATACAATAATCTCTTGTCTCGCGATTACGATTTCATCAATTCAACCACGTGTCGTGTATACATCAGTATGTCTAAGTAAAAAATTTTCCGTATGCGCGCGTGTGTGTGCGTATGTGTGTATGTGCACGTGGTAATTTATTATTTGGATTAGTTTAAAAAAATTAATATTAATTACTGCAGTGCCCGTTGTCTTCGATCGTATTGTTTAAGTCGGATATTATTTCTAATTCTTCCTAATAACTGCGAATTCATAATATATATAGATATATACATACGTCATAAGGTCAAGCGCAATGATTTATATTTAACCGTTAAACCTCACCAAAATACGAAAATACACGTGATATCACGGTGCGTCCCGATCCCTTTATACTCCTGTATTAAATCAACTCGGTTAAATAGATGTGACTTTTCTAGTTTTCAGAACGAAAACCGTTCCTTTTTTTTTTTATTTTACCGTATCACCCAAAGGCAATTCTTTCGGATATACATATATTAAATTTGTGTAAAAACGAGCTTGTTGTTTTTCGTGGTTTGTTTCCTTGAACATGGTCATTGATTTAACATAAAAAAAAAAAAAAAATTCTAATTTTTTACATATTTACTTCGTATATAAGTAGAACCTAGAGATTTATAATTGTTTACTATACTTTTATACTATATTGGATTTTTTTTTCTACAGGTTCTCTGCGAGTTTCATGTGTTTTACTCAAAACCTAGCATTTGATAATTGAAAATGTATTCGTGTTAATACCATAGCAAAATATAGCTTCAGTTATTGCTTTCAAGCGAAGGTACGTATATTCTTGTGTTCAATTTTTTAAAAAATTATATAATTGTAGGATATCTGAGCAATGAGAATAATAGTTCATCAACATGACGATTTTTACGATTTGAAGTAAATTTTTGTTGTAAACACACGTATAATACTGTGAATCGTCATGTATTATACTTTATTTTATTTTTTTTCATTTCGAGTCACACGCGATATTCTAATATATATTTACCAATACATCAACAGTCAAACAACAACTTTTCATAGTTAATTACATTATCAAAATTGTATTATTATTATTATTATTATTTTTTATATATAATATACATTTGTTCGTGATTAAATTAACTTAAACATTTTTAAAAATAATTAATTACTATTAGATGTATAATTAAAAATCAATAATAAAACATACAGCCAAGTAACGTAGAAAATCATTGTGTACACACATCAAATAACAGAACTAGAAATTAAATTTTAAACCAGAATTAAATGGTTTTTAAACTTTTTACTCTGTTGAACTTAATCCGATCAAACAATTAATGAAAACTAAAACAATTATCAGAAACCTGCAGGGTAGAACTAAATTAAAGATAAACTTAAAGTCAAAAAACTCACAATTCGCTTGATGTTTTTTTTTTTTTTATTAATTGCTTTTATTTTTACTGCATTATAGCATGACAATTTTAAATTATTTAAGATACAAAGAGAAAAATAATAAATAGTTAGATAGCAGTAAATAGTAAATACAATATTTTTAATGTGGAAACCAGTGTTGCAGATGAAATTAATGATGAGTGCGATGACGGAGGAAGATCTAAGATTGAGGAGCAGAATTCCATCAGGAGTGGTATAACCTAAGGAAGAGATTTGGGAGAGTAATGAATTGCATAGATGTGTAAGAGACGAGCAAGAGAAGAGAATAGAGAATATTACGAAGGTCACATACGACTTCATAGTTGTGGAGTGTGCCTTACTTGATGTTATTTTAAGTACAATCAACATTTAAGTAAAAATTTGAGTAATAATATGTACAGGTATTTTGTTAAAATTAATTCCCGTTTTATTATTTCATATAACAACTATTAATTTTGCCGTTAATTATCTATTGAAAAACAAGCCATGTATGGCATCGCGTCAGCACGTATTGTATTAATAAGTCATTTAAACTTTGGATAGTTGGTAATTAGCGTTCAGAAAATGAATGAACTCAAAACAGTACTTATAAAAAAAAATTCGTTTCAAACATTTACGCTGCCAGAAGATATACGAATATAAACTCAAATTCCACACTCATTCACTAACGGATCGCTATATCTTAAAAACTATTAAACATATGAACTTAAAATTTGACATAGTGGTCCTTCTAATACTGTAAATTTGCAATTATGTGTGAGGTTTTTCAATGATCTCGTTTTTATATGTTTTTAATTCCTCGTATTCACATTGTTCTGACCGATTTGCAATTTCGGTTTAATAAAGTGCTATAGATTCAGCTATACAGTACAAATTAATAAAAATAAATATTATTAAAACATACGACAAATGTGCGCTTTTTTTTTTAACATACATATTTTTAGCCTGAGATTATTATTACTCGTTTTCAATATGCAGTGCGATCTGAAACATATAATCACGTGTTAACATTTGCAATTCAACAGAGAACGATACGTAGTCTGTTCAGCCAATTCATCAAATTAATGAACTAGATACATTTTGTTGAATAAGAAATCTTCAGAGGATTATTAAATAAATTGTTCTACCCAAAGGAGTAGTGCATTATCAGTCGTACGAAAATATTATTGCTTCTGACTAAGTGCCACAGACATTTATTGTTATCGAATTTAACGATATTTGACGATTACGTATTACCTATATTTAATACGAGACAGATACCGATCGATCCATTTAATGATGATACTCTGATATATCGTCACTGCTATGTCGGCACAAAGAAAGAACAGTTGAATAATCACCACTAATACGGTCCAATATTAAAAAGTATCTTTTTCACTTTAGATAGTATATGATCGATCATAATAAAAGGGAACGGAACTGGGAAATAACGTGTATAATAATATGAACGTGTAAAGTTTTCTAAAGTTAAAGTTTTTATGAAGCTTTTAGTCTTTCGAACAACGCCATCAACTTATTCTTAATGTTTTATTACTAATAAAATCAACATGACCGTTGAAGTACAATAGGTATTGTATGGACGTGATGCACCTTAATATTTAATACTTTTGACCGTAGAAAGTAGCAAGACAAGCAATAAAATAAGAAAAATGTGTGCTGTAACTCGATCTAGAGAATTTTGTTGAATTAAACTTTTTAATATTTATCGTTATTTCGTAATATTTTAACATAAATGAAATCTATTTAAATATTTTCCAATTTTTTTTGTTTGGGTTGTTAAAAGTTATAACCGTATTCCGAATTGTCAGCGGTTCGTATGGATTTATCGTTAAAAAAAATACTTTCAACGACATAATTGTTGTTAAATATGCATTGTATACAATCGATTGTCGTCATTTTTATTAGCAGTATTTCATCTCGCTTTCAGTTCATTCAAATAATGCGTTTTTCTGTTTTTAACTTAAACGTAATAATCGTTACGTACAAAATATTATACCAAGAAAAGCTTGATTTCAGTGCGCATAAACATCAAAACTTTGTTAAAAAGTATGCCCATTTATGGGTTATTTTTTTGCTTTTGTTTACGATACTCTCGAAAATTACTAAAATATTTGAAATGCGTAGTGTACGTTTATGAGAAAAAAAAAACATAATAACCGCATCACTGAACATTCAAAATCTCATTGTTCCTTTTGAGATCTAGAACATTAGAGAAATTCAGAGAAACCCGTCAATGTTCAACACTCGTGAATGGAATAAAACATATGAACTTCAATAATCAAAGAATAAAAATGCATTTATAACTGAAAATAAATGAATATAATAAAAATAAAAATAAATTATGTTTTTTTATATTTTAATTTTAAAGTAATGAAATACTGTAATTAAAAAAGGCTGAAACGTTCATAATCGATATAAATCACACAACTCGAAAGTTATACGGTATCAAAGTGAATTAAATTGTATTGTTTAATTAAAACGTGGTTTACAATAATAATAATTATTATTATTATATTATAAATGAAAAGGGTTTTTTTTTTTTTTTTTAGTAATTTTGATTTCCACAATCGATCTAGAAAATCGTTCTGTTATTTTGTATAATTAAATATGTCTTACAATTCGATTCTGAATTAATGTCCTTTAGAAAATCTAATATAAATATATTTTTTATAAAGAGAAATACGAAATAAGAATAGATGATGCTATAAATCTGTAATTACGATATTATTACGCGTACACATCGATATGACTAATAATTGTTTCCGGACCTATTAGCTTCAAAATCATCACTAATGGAAAAAATATTTCATATTAATCTTTGGCATTTGAACTACGTTCCAAAAATCGACGATGTCCGACGAAATCGTTTGTCTGCCCTTTTCGCCGAACAAATGCGGTCACTCTTGATGTCGCCGTCGTCGTACACGCAACGTATTTCTTCGCGAAACGAGTAGAGAGGAAATGAACACGAGGTGAAACCGGTGACGTTGTTTCGCATCTCAGCGTAAAATCACGGCTCAAAACGAGGTTTGGATGTCACTGTTGATCCGGCAGCGGCGCTATGCCTGATTTTTACGTTTCAAGTCATACCCGCCAGTATTTCGATCGCGAGCAAATGCCTCGGACCAAGAAGCGATGCGATAAGCGCGTCCAATAATACCCCGTACTTTTAGCAGCTGGATATTTGGAATTTACCGTTATATTTTTTTATTATTTTTTTTTTTTTTTTTTTGCTGTTTCTTCGTAAACCTACCGAGATACGAACTTACGAACGTTGGTGAAAACCCATTTGGAATCGGTACGAGTACACAAGAGCGCGCAAGCGATAGCCGAACAAATGTTACGGCCGTTGCGCGAACCGTTCGAAATGAGGGTTTACGCGTGTTCGACGACGGCGAAAATACCTCCGGTGTAACGCACATAAATCCACGTTCACCCGTAAAACTCGCTAAGCTCACGTCTCGGACCGCGCGCGAGGCGTCACGATGAAAGCGGTCGCGGGAACGACGACAGTACCGCAGCGAAACCCGCGATTACGGCGCGCGATAGAACCCGCGGCGGTACGCCTGAAATTATTTCGGGATCGTCGCACCGGACGTTTTGCGCGTAACACCCGGGTGTCTCGCAAACGGATCAACGCCGTTTCGGACTCGGGTGTGTACGATCGTCATTCGTTTTCGTTGCTGTTCTTCCCCCCCTCGCAACTGGACCGTTTTTCTCGTGCCCGGTATGCCGGATTCGACCGCGAACGAAACTCGGAGCAGTGCCGATTCGGATTGTCCCGTACGTCAGGCCAGGATTTGCTCCGTTGCGCCGACCGTAACCGCCTCGAACGTCGGGGCCACCGGTGACGGCCCCCGAGTCGTGTACAACGGACATCGCATTATAAATAAATAAAAATAATATTCATGTAAAATCAACGGGCCACAGCCCTTTAGCGATGGAAGAAAAACATTGATATACGAGTTGGCGCAATATGAAAACAATAGACAGGTGATAACAATAACAGTAAAAATAGCAAGACATACAAATGTAAAATTTTAGTACATAAAACAAAAGTATAAAATAAATATTTAGGCATTATGATTTAAAAACAACAAAGTTCTAGCTTCAAATACTTGACGAGTCAAAACAAAAAAAATCCAAGACTGTGGAGATTCTATTGGCGTTAATAATGGCTCTTGAAAAAAATGAATTTTTTCCACTATTTGTATTAAAATTAGGTGTATGGAACGAATCGGAATTACGTGTGTACCTACTAGGGATTCTAAATGCAATTAAATTCAAAATAGCTGGGCAGTTCATATTATTATTTAAAATATCATAGACAAATGTAGTCCCATTGAGATGGTTTTTGGGTTGTTATCGACAAAAATCAAGACG